ACGCCCTTACATGTAATATTATATATGTATATTAATATTTTTTTCCATATTTTAAAGCAATCGCAATTGTTTTTAAATTTTAATGCTTAGGAATGTTTCACTCGGAACAAATTTTCGACAGACCACATATGTATGTATATTTTTTATATTTTAGTTATTCGTTTTATAATTTGATTAACATTTCACATTTTTAGCAATTCGTAACATTCTGCTTACAACAATTTATGAAAACAACATTATAATTGGGGAATAAATTTGCGCTGCATTAGAATACTTATATTTCGATATTTGCATAAATTTTTAATTGAATAATTGCATAGTTAGTTGCATTTTATGCGTTAAATTTTAGCAAGTGTTGTTAATGCTGCTCATTTCCACGCGCCGACTGCTTATGGTGAGCGTATGATGGCCTCGTAGGCGGCGAAAATCATGGGCGCCACCTCCACCGAGCGCGACTTAAGACTGAGCGTAGCATCGGGATTGCCCGGCTGCAGCTTTAGTTCGAGCAGCACCCAAATGTTGTTGGTTAATTTGAGCGACTGATACAGCATGTCTTGACCCTCCACGTTGCGCTTGGCAATGGTAAATACATTGTTGGTGGTCATTTTCGAGGCAATGCCATCGGTGGTGCCAATGACACCGCTTAGACTGTATTGCACCTCATTGGCAGCGGGTATCTCCTTCCAGGTGTTCAAGAACACACGTTTATCCAGCTGGCCGTCCTCGGCAAAGAGCACATTACCATGCACTAAACAAGCAAAATAGAATATGTCTATGTTGTTCTTGACAGCAACTTGTAAATTATTCAATGGTTCCATGCGTTGCACCGGTCCATGTGTGCCTAGTGGCAGCGTGGCTTCAGTGGTCTGGTTTGGTGGCAATGGTGCCACTTGCATGGGTGAGGCAGGCATCAAGCCAAAGCTGTTTTTGTTCAATTGTATGGCAAAACCACTCATTGGCTGCATAGCTTTGTTGGTTAGTGTCATATCCATAAAAATTTCACCGTTGCGACGCGAGAACGAGCCTTGTATTTCGAGTCCCTTGCCCTTTTCGGCGGGTAGCCAAACGATTTTCGGTATTTGCACGCCTGCAGTGAGTGCGCCGCCGGACAGACCGAAGATGTCGCCAAGCAGGCTGCTAGCGCCACCAGCTGCGGGTTCGGTTGGACCGCCGCCAAGCTGTAACGGTGATAAAGTCAATATTTTATAGAATAATTTCATGTAAAAGAAACTTATATGCTTACCAAAATATCCAAACCGCCGCCTAGCAGATCAACATTGCTGGTGGTTGGCGCAGCCGCAGGCATGGCGGGCGCATTAATGTCCATAGATAGCAAGTCTCCAATCAGCGATTCCTGATTCGGTATAACCATAGCTTCGCCACCAGTCTCCGGCTCGGCCGTGCCGGCTGTCTGTGCACGATTTGGCAGCGACTTACGTACGCCAGCACCGCGTCCCTCAACAAATGCCGTGGGGGGTTTGTGGTACACGCTAGCCAATGAGCTGATGTGACAGATCAGCTCGTCCAATAGCGTAGGCTCAAGCAAATCAGTTTCTTCCGAAATCAACGGTTTGTCAGCCAAGACAACTTCTTTGGCCGCAGCTGGATCGGTTGACAGCAGGCGCCAGTATATAAAACCGCGATCACGCAAGTCAGGATTATCGGAGTCTTGCGTTGCTAATGAAAGCACATGCTGCACCAACTCTTGTGTATCAGATGGGCGTTTCAAGAACAGCTTGACGACGGCGGTGAGCAGCTGCAGTTGCACTTGTGCATTTTCGTCTTGGAAGCCTTCCAAGAAACTATCGAGCAGCTCGTCAGCGTTGTCAATACGTTCGGCATATTCGCCAATGATCCAAACCATAGAGGCACGTGCCTCTGGCTCATCTAGTGTATCGAGATTTTCGCATAATGTGCTGATAATGCTTTCGTATTTATTCGGGTATTTGCGGAAGATGTCTTTGATGACGACAATTGCCTCTTGGACCACGTAGTTGACTTTGGTTTGAATCAGATCGAGTAGCGTGGAAACGCAGCGCTCAGCCGACGGCTCAACCTTAAAGTGACGAGAAAAAATTTATATTAAATTATTTACAAAAAAAAAATAAAAAAAAAAAAAAAAAAAAAA